GTGACGAGAAATGAGGTAGAAATCTGCAGTGAATTTTTGTCCAGCCGTTTTTTTTTTTTCAGCGGATTACATTGGAGGGTTATGTTAAAATTAATTAAATAAAAGCAGATTGAAAAATATTCTTTATTATTGCCTCTGAAGAGTTTCCTCGCAGAAAACAAGTATTCCTTTTGGACTTTAGGTTTCAAAATTCTAAGTGAGTGTTTAGAAGAAAACATTTTATATATTTTATTAGAGATAATATGACTGTTATATGTGGGTTCACATTTTCCCCATGTTTTTACTTCAGCTACTGAAAATAAACTATGTATGGGAGTATTTAACAGGCTATGTGCAATATTGGGCATCACAGTCGCACAGTGATTTGCATACAGTGTGTAGTTCCAGACCTGGGGTGCTGTCTGCATGGAGTTTGTATGTTCTCCATGTGTTTGTGTGGAGTGTAATAACATACTAGTAGGTTTTTTGGCTTCTGAGAAAATTATCCCTTGTTATGAGTGTGCCTGTCTCTGGGCGCCCATCCAGGGTGTACCCTGCCTTGCACCCCATTGCTAGCTGGGATAGGCTACAGCTCCCCAGCCACCCTTAACTGAAAGAAGCAGACAGAAACGGGTGGATGTGCAATTTTTTTACCTTTAATTTGTTTGGTGTGGGAATATACAATGCATTCTTTTGTCAGGTTTAAAGTTTTATCATCAGGCTTGGACTGTTAATGAAAAAGGCTCCTGCCAGCAGTCATCTTAGTAAATTTTGTGAAGAAAATTAGAAACCTTTCTTTTGAGCAATCTGAATAATTTTATCTTAAAGATTGTCTTTGAAAGATTCCAAGAAATTGAAAGTGTAGGAGACAAGTGGCTAAATTTTAAACATCGTACATTGTCAAAGATCAGAGGCATTATCACCTTAATTATTTTATACATTTGCTAAAGTAAAACTTGAAAAATGTTTTTATTAACTCAGTGTAAATGGTTGGTGTACCACTGGTGTCTTGAAGTCAATATGTTTACAAAACTTTTGTTTTACAAAATAATTTTATAATAGAGTGGATCTTGAATCTTTGTGTTGTTGTTGAAAGCTTTAAAGTAACTGCAGATGATTATAGAACAAAGGCTTGTTGTCGTTTGAAATTTGATACTCAAGACAAATGAAAGCCATACAACTGTTGTGAGGTGTGTCATTCCAGTGTGAGCTGTAGAATCATTTAACCATTAACACAATTAAATGGTTTCTTTTCTAACTATGGGAAAGACCTGAATATATTCAGTATACAGTATATTGACATTGAACTTTAGGAAGGCCTAAACATCATGCATAGCACAAACTTTTTCTGAGATGGAAATGGTTAAAAGCTCTTTAAGTGTCTTATAATCCGAAATGACACAATCTGGTCTTTGCTAATATATTGTTCCCTTGGCTTTTTGTTGAATGTTTTTCACAACTCCTTGTGTAATGCCAATAGAGGACATATCTACAGCACAAAGACACAAAGGGTTCATTTTGTATAAGTTATTTAGAGATTTATATAATGGTTGTTTAGTGAACTGTAAATAAGAAGCTTATTTTTAGAATTGCTTGGCACTACCAGGAGAACGCTTGCATATAATTTGTTTCCCTTTAAATGTGGATCATTATAATGTATTATCAGAAAAAAATGCTTTGCTGTTTATTTTGTAGCTAGCTGCTGAACTAGCCACATAAAGCACAATATTAAGTAATCATATTTTAAATGAACAAATATCATGCCTTGTAGACAAAATAAATGTTTTAATAAAATTTCAAATTAATTGTGTCCTTTAGAGTGCCCGAAATGTATTGACATTAGATAAAAGAGAACAGCTAAGATCAGAATAGTCTGGGTGGTTGTGACTTCTGACAGATCTAACCCTGGATGTTTAGTATGAGTGTTCCAAAGATCAAAGGTAACCACAGATTCTTTGATTTGTTTTTAAGGTCATATCTACAGGTAGAACATCTGTAGCTATGATTGACTGCAGAATATCAAACCCTGGCAGAGCTAGAAGTTTCAGGACAGGTTAAGAGTACCTAAATATGTCTTACTAAATTGACAGTTGTTCAGCACAGTCTGCTGTAGATATGTAGAGTAAGACAAATCGCGCGGCCCTGGTTTCCATTCCGTACCTGAGGTGCTGTCTGTGTGGGGCTTGTGTGTTCTGCCTGTGTTTGTGTGGGTTTCCTCCCACAGTCCAGAAATACACTGGTAGGTTAATTGGCTTCTAGGAAAACTGGCCCTATGTGTGCATGTGTGTGTCTGTGTGTCTGCCCTGTGATAGACTGGCATCCTGTCCAGGATGTACCCTGCCTTGCACCTGTTGCTTGCTTTGATAGGCTCCAGCTCCCCTGCAACCCTGTATTGTAAGAAGAGGTTAGATAATGGATAGATGAACAAATCAGGTAAATGTTGTTGAATTCAGGTTTTGAGCAAAATTTGTCTTTCCTCCTAACATTAGATTCTTTTAATCATCAAGATATGAATTGCAAAGATAAAAACAGGTTAATGATTTGCACCACTGAAGCTCTGAACTGGGTACTTGGAGTGAAACTATAACAGTTTTTGTTTCATTATAATTAAGTTACATGTAATTTAAATACAGGCAAAATTGAATTATCCATCTTGTCTTAAATTTAGATATTTTCAAATATATACATTTCATTAAAACTTTGAATGTGGTGGACACATGACTGTGTCTAACGTAAAAAATATATATCTTGGTTAGATAATTGAAAAAATATTTAAACTGAACCAGAGTACAGCAGTCTTAGAAAGTCTGTAATGTTTGACAGACAAGGTATACCTTTATACCTTTACATCAGATCACATTGGGCTTATATCACTTTTGCAACTTTTGTAATGGGGGTGTTTGTTTCATTGACAAACAAAGAAGGCTTAGGTTGAGAGGAGAGACAAATTAAAAAAATGGACTCCATCTTTTCTTTTTCATGTGAAAGTTAACATCAGAAGTCTGCTAGAGACAAATTGTATTTTGAAATAATTATAAAGGGTATAAAGTTGTCAGATAGGTTGACATTTACTACAGTAAGAGTCCCACAAATGTAGTCTATGCTTACAGGATTGTCCCTTGAAACCTTTCACTTGTAAGTGATGCTTAGTTGCTAGACTTTGATAACATTGATTAAAATGTGATATGAAATGGGACAATAAAAATTTAAAGATCACATTTCTGTTCTGAAATGTCATTTTACTTGACTTGTTCTCTTATATGGAGTATAATGTTCAAGTATGGTATTTGCTTTCCCATATTATTAAACTGATTTCCTACTTTTTAGTAAACAGAAGTTTTTATGTTATACTTTATAAATGTGCCTGTGTTTCAAAATTATCTATTTTCTTTTTTATCCTATATATCATGTAAGTGCAGACATTCTGTATGGTCACAATGGTTTAGAGAGTTGGAAACAAGGTATCAGGCTATGTTGTTGAAGCTGATGCCATAATTTATTTCAAGAAACAGCTAGATGAATTCCACAAATCACCTAGTTGCAACCAAATGAGCTTCCCTCATTTGCAGACTTTGTTTTTATGTTCTACTATCATGTGCAATACATGAAGTTTGTCATGTATTGTTTTTCTGAAAAAACAGTTTAAAATGTCCATGCTATTTAAGTACCATAACCCAGTTTTTAGATGAAAATGCTGTAAGGTAATTGCATTGTGGCATTTTTAAAAAAGGTATAAGTAATTTCATTCTTGTAATTCAAGTATAATTACCACTTATTCTTGCATATTTCATAAACACTTGTACACTATTATAGCCTACTTACCAATTGCCTACAATTACCAATTATTACATAAAAGGATTATTAGAGGAAATTGGTTGCATTGTTAAGTAGATTCCTCACAGAATACTGGTTGAGACTGCACTGTGGAAAATGCCTAATAACTTGTCTGCAATTTAGCTTAGGAAATGCAAATTATACTTATTAGTATATTGGGATATGTTCCTTGTTTGGAAGCAACTTTGTATTATTCTCAGAATGTAATGGTTTGTCTTGCTTCTGATATTAAAGTTCATCATCTTACATGATTTTGTTTTTGGTGTTGATTTGTCTGATCAACTGAAAGTTGCTTTTTTTAGTTCACCACCTAGGCATAGACTCTAAAGTTGCAAGTACAAGTCTCAAGTTAGATTTGAAGCAGAAATAAATCAGTTATTAGTCTAGTGTACAAGCAGCACTAAAAATATACATGATGTTAAATAACTGATCTCTCTATATTGTAACTTGCAACAGAAAATACTAAGTATATATAATATTTCATTTTTGAGACCTTGTGTACACCTATAAAGCTGATACTTGTCGGCATAAAACATTTTAAAAGAGAAATTAAAATTAAAATGTTTTCTCAGTATTACCTTTTCTTAACTTCAGTGCTTTCAATGCAATGCTTTTGAGAAAACCACTGTTCACTTTGATGATTTAAACGATGAGTGACATGCAAGAAAAGTTTTTTTTCTAATATAAGTTGCAATAAATCATCCATCTTCTAACTGCTTTATCCAATGCAGGGTTGAGGGGGAGCAGAAGCCTAACCCAGCAAGCATTCACACAAGGGCCAGTTTTCTTAGCAGCCAATTAACCTGCCAGCATATTTATAGCTGTCTGAAATTAGTATCAATACAAGCAATTTATAGGCAATAAACTATATTTTATTTTTATCAGGTACACAGTTGTGGAGGAAAGTTTATGATAAACTCTGGAGTTTTATACACAAGTTCTTATCTGTTCTTAATAAAGTGAATGCAAAATTTTGAAATAATATAGCAGGTGTGCACATTGCTGATACAGTGGAAATACAGGTTTTTGCATTAGATCCATGTCTGTTGGATGTCATTTCTTTTTCTGTACAATTAATTTTAAAATGAGTTTTTCCTTGTTTTTAAACCCTCAAAGGTGTTCATAAAATGTGAAGTTTTACTTGTCATAAATGTCAAATCATTAACGTTTTTTGTTTTAAATTTCAGATCTACACCAATGATTGTGCTGGCTATAGACAAACTAGAGCATCAAGCTTTGAGAGTTTCTTTTGGAAAGGAAGGGGTATTACCACCCAAAACCCACCTGCAAGTTGGCCTAGGTAAGATTTTTTTGAGTGTCTGAGACATTTCTTTGGAATCAGACTAAAAGTTGCTATATAAATGTACTATATTAAATTTCTGAATTAAAGCAAAGTATTATGTTAGGTTTTATAGAATGCTTCTACTGTTTTGTGCTGATGGCTGATGGACCTTTAAACAAGCAGGCGTTAAGTCAATAGGTTACATTTGATCCAGAATAGAATCACAGGACCAGTACCCTGAATAGGACTAGCACCCCCTTGATATTACAGATTCTTAATATCAGTGTATCTTGACAAATTATTTTTGTTATAAAATGGTATTTATTTTAAGAGTCGTCTAACTGTCAATGCTTTGGAAAACTGTAACCACTAGATTTTTTTAATTTTAAAGTTAGAATAAATAAACTTCTTAAGGGGTGAATAAGAGACAGAATTAACATATGCTCTGAAGTGTTCTTATTATTTCAAGGATTTCAGGACAGAACTTGAAAATTATAGTCACTGTACAAGTGACATTCCAACACGTACTTTACAGTTTCTGAAAGCAGAGGGATTGAGAATTATAGTTACATAGGTTTTGTATTACCTTGTGATCGAAGTATTTGACTTTTTTTGGTTTTAAGGGATTATGTGTTTATATGTAAGGAAGATTCATGTAACATCATTTTATAAAACCCTATACACTATTATATGGATACTTTTATTTGAAACTAGAATAAATACAATTTTTTCATTGGTCACATATTTCATTTCACCAAGCATGACATGACCTTATTTTAGCATATAAAGTGTCACTGCAACCTGTGAGAGTTCTGATTCGTGCAATTCTGACGCAGGTCAGAGTGTGAAAAGACCAGCTGAGTTTCAAGTCAGTTGATGCAGTTATCCCCGTGACGGTGGTACAGGTTTTGTTTCATCTTGAGTGCTGGTCAAGTGGCCATTTTACATAGAATATATTAGAGGTTAATGGTGCACTCACTAGAATGATAATTACTTGTTTTGAGTTAAATGGCTAAATGTTTTTTTTAACAGCTGGGGTTGCTGTTATTAGCTTTATATTGACACGGAAGAAAGGATAGACAGCAATCTTGGTTAACATAGGATCACCGTTTTCATAGTTTATCCTGTTTGCACTAGAATTTCTTACTAATTCATTCCCATCAGTGGAAGCCTGTCTTTCCCCTATAACTTCAATGTATTTTGTAACTATTAAGTTTCATTACATCCAAGACTCATGTCTTCTTATTGTGGGAAAAGTAAACTTTCAGATGGTTCTGAAGTAATATTTTCATTTAGAGTTTAAAGTTGTGGTCATGATCACCTTGGGAAGATGCTTTAGCTTTCTAAAAAGTGTGGAAGACCCAACAACGTGTGCTTAATATTTGGATCTTAAATTATGTAAAACAATTTTCATGCCATTTTCAAAACCAAAATTGCATCTCAAATGATTAATGTTGTTTAAATACAAACATCACCTACACTACTTGAGGCAAAACCTGACCTATAATCACATGCATATGTAAGTCACACACCTACTTTTTTAGAAACATTGCCAGTTATGTGCATTTCAGCTGACATCCCATTTCCAAATCTTACCTAACTTGTGTGGTCTATCACCTCTGAAGTTCAGAATCTAAATGTATTTTATGTTCTATATGCAGGCAAAATCTAATAGAATCATGTTCTAGGTAGAAAACCGAAATACGCAGTTTGTCAGTTTAATTTTAGAATTATTTTATGAGTCACATATGTTTGTTAAGTCTGACTTTGCCTGTGTCTTTGGCTTCTGAAAGCTTCTTTGAATGCAACCACACATGGTAGGGAAGGGTATGGGGTGGTCTGTTACTTCAGAATGTAAGATTATAAATCAATTTCTTCTGTATCTCATTGAGGTGTGATTAACTAATTGATTGAAATAACTCATCCGATCTGAAGAAGTCCTTTGAGTGGACTTTTTCAGTACCTTTGAAGCTTTTACCAGGTTAATCAGTTCAGAATAAATAGCTACTTTCAGTGATGAGTTGGAGACCCATTTGTTCAGCATAGCACCTACTTGAGTGTATCTTGCTCAAGGGTGTACCTCAGCAGCTTTCCACCCAATATTTGAACCTGCCACCCTCTGGACCAGGGATTAGAGAGCTAGCCAATGTAACATGCTGTTTTTACTTCAGTTCTTGAATCAGATCTCCTTATTCTCTATTTAAGGGTATTATTTTTTAAGTATTACTACCTTCTAGTCTGTCTTGCCGTATCTGAAGGCAAGTCAGTAGTGGAATGGGAGGACTCCCAAGGAAAACCATGTTGTTGCTTTAAGTGATGTTACTAGACCAGTAGGTGACACTCTTCCCTTCAGATCAGAATTCAGAATTTAAGATCAGAAAATCAGAACAAAAATCATTCCCCGGTATGGAGACTGGTTATATTGATGCTCTAGGTAGTAATAACTTTTGGATGGGTCATTAAACCAAAGTTCACAGTACTCAGTTGGTAGAAATTTTGTAGCACTGTTCATAACAGTACAGGAGTTTACACTGGTGATCTGGTCTAGCACAGACTGCGCTACATAATGTTTTCCCTTAATTCCCTCTAATTGGTGAAAGAGTTACTCTTTTCTAAATAGTGGGTCTACTAGTGTTTAATGACTTTCATGCAATACCCAAGTGGGTGCTGAACTTAAGTGTTGGTTGAAGTGATTCTGTTCTTTATATAATATGCATTAAGATATTCTTGGATAAAAAGCATTATATACATTAAGTAAATGTTGTTACCATTTAAGCACATGGAGCTCCTTTGAGCATGAGGATATTTTTGGTGGATGTTCTCCTTATTGATTCCAGTTTAACCCAGGAGGATGTTTGAAAGGGGAACACCACCATAGAGAGAGGTCAACAAACTATCTTTCTGCTGTACAAATATTGGCAGAGCCATATTTGTCAATTCCAATTTAATACACAAATGTTCGCATTTATTATTTTTTATTCTTCTAAAAAATTAGAAAAGGAAGTTATTTTGATGATATACACACCCAGTTTGGAATCATCAGTTGTGTCTTGACATTTCAGCTGGCTGCAATAGCACCTGTTACTGGAGACAGTAAGCAGTAAGTGGAGATGGGCTTTTCCAGCCTGTCCACCCATCAAGCCAATTCATCTTTTCTCAGTCTGCAAGCTGTAGTAATGTACAGGAGGTTCAGTGCCAATTGGTGGAGAGGTGTATCTCCCAATGATATTACCATGTTGCTGCCAGCGCCCAGGAAGTCACACAATAATGATGAACTTGAATCATCAATGAACTTGTTGCCCTGCAAATATAGTGCAGCAGGCCACAGTGCATCATTACACACTGATACATATTCTGTACCTAACCAAAAGCAAATGAAGTGTCTTCTTATGCTGGTTATATGATTTTAAAGGTAATTAGTTAATTACATTTGTTTGAGATAATCTGTATCTTTTTATAGTTAAAAATAAATTGTTCTAAGATTTCAGTGGGAATGGTAGCTACAGGATCAGTTTAAGCTGATTTAACACTTAGAAGTTGGTTTCGCAATAATGTTTATTCGGGTATGCTATTATTTTTGTGAATATGTTGAATTATCAGTCTGGCAATAGCATAGCAGTTTTGTGAATGCTGCTAAATTATATCCAGGTACAGAACATTCTCCTGTACCTGCATTAAATGTTAGATACGTTGCCTGACCAGCCAGACGTAAGTGTGCTTCAAAGCAGAAAGCATACTAATTACCCTCCTAATCAATCAGACAATAACAGTTTCTTCCATTGTCAGTAAACTAGTTAGTTGTCTGAAATAGTGCTTTACTCGTAAATAGCTATATTTCTATATTGCAAGTGTGTAATCTCTCAACATCAGCTGTACTAAATAGAGTAATATAAATGTTCTCCATATTCTGACTGTGTGGAATGTGTCATTATTCAATTTGTTTACACAACCACCGAATCTTTCATTTAAGTGCTGTCTTGTAGTAACAAAAAAGAAAATAAGATCCTGTGGTGTTCAAAATATAAGTAATAAAGATATTTCCAGAAGCATTAAATGTCTTAGCATTAATGTGAGAGTAAACCTTGTCCTTAATTATATTCCTGTCATGGGGTAATTCAAAATGTGTTTTGTATGCACATACCATTTTGGTGACAAATCTGTTGATTTGTTTTCCATCTTAAAAATTGTGTAATTGGAGATGGGTGGGGTTTGTTATTAACTTAAATGGACTGTTCTTCAAATAGAAATACATTGATTAAATACATTTGAGTTTTGTTTGATGTTCGTTTTTTTCCTTTGTAGTGAATTGTGGTTTGCTGCTGGACTCTCCTCCCAGGATGATATGAGATTTAACAGAAGACGATGCATACAGGTTAGCAGCTATACCCTCTCTTCATATTTTAAGACAGACTAGGTGATGCTTCTGTGGATAAGGTTCTGTGACCTCATTAGTCTACTAACCCCTGTTAAGCCATAATTGATAAACTGGTGGAACTGCAAAATTAATTTAAACTACAAAACTAAAATCATGAAATCTTCATTATTGTTTTTAAGAACAGTCTTCAGTGTTACAGGATTTCTTTGATGCAGATACAATGAAACATTTCCTAATGCCAGAGTTTTTATAGTTTTTCAGTTAGAACTATTTAAGACTTCTCACCCAAAAAACAAACTTAAATATCACCTGATAAGTGAAGGTGCTTTGCCTAATCAGTATAGTAAAAACTTTATTTCATTTATTTGCAACCATTGTTGATTTAAATGCTTTTAATTATAGCATTTTATGGCATATTCTTTATTCTTTGTTTTACTGTTTTCTGCTCCTAGCTTCATATTGCTAACTTATTGAAATTCTTGAACTTCGAAAGTATGACTAATCTTGCACCCCCAAGGTGTTAATTTAGTCTTGTCATTGGAAAAACTTGTTAATGCTGAGTTTCTTTTTTTTTTATTCAAAGTTGTAATTGAAAATATTTGTTGATCTTGACTTGTTCAGCAGGGATATATTTCTGTTTTAATTTTTAATGCCCATCTTTATCATGTGACTGTCACATTCAAAGACAGATGTCTCACAGCAAATTACATTTTTCACATTTTCTTGTAAATGTTTTTTTCATTCGTCTTTCTAATTTTACAGTTAAAGTATGACCTTTAAGATCTAAATTTAAATAAACTTCCAAGATGCCCTGGAGGCTTATGCAGTATGCAACTGTGTTTGCAATAGGACAGATAGAATAGATCTTATTGCGTAGTTTGTATTTCGGAAACAATTTTCCCTAGCCTAACACTTTCGTGACACTTAATACTTCTTCCACCCTTTTTGCTCCGATTCTGTTCTTTTTCCATTCTTTAGTCCATTACAGTTAAGAAAGGAACATTGCTTCAAATCTAGGTTTTTACTGGCGGCAAAACAGCCAGTAACAAAGTAAGAGTTGTCGGTAAGAACCAAGTTTAACATTTTTCATTTTGAGAGATCCTTAGAAGCATGTAGTAGCTAATTTCGGCTGTAGATATGGCCATAAAGACTTAAATCATTTCAATGTGTATAAGTAAACTTTCTTTAGAATTCAGTTGTAGACGACCTTAGAAGTAAGGACTATCCTGAAAAAGCTACTTATTAAAATTACTTGGTTGTTTGTGTTAACAACTCATTTACGCCTTCATGACAACTAGGGGAAGCAATAAAAAACGCAAACAATCTTATGACATATAGTTTAAACAGTAGAATTTAAATGTTGATGTTATGTTAAAATTGAACGATGCCCAATTTTGATGCCCAACGATGCTAGAATGAGAATTGTTTACAGTTTTAGTCCTTTTACAATACAAGATTGTTGTTCTGGAGTCAGTCCAGAGAAGAGCAGCCATATAATTTCCTGGAATTTAAAGAATGTCCCACACTGACAGGTTAGAAGAAATCCTTTAAATCTTGAACAATGAAAGATTAGGAAGGGAAATGATCAGAACAGAACATGATCAGTTCAGAATCGTCTAAGGCATGGACCTTTTGGATTCAACAGTGAATCGCAGGCCTGAGGACAGTAGTGGAAACACTGGAGGAGTGTGTTTAAAACTGGAACAAGCTCCCCAGCCATGCTTCTGAAACCAATAATCTGGCTTCTTTCTAGGAGTGGACCTTCATATCAGTTAGTTACTAGTAACCAAACAATCCAGGTGGGATGGAAGGCCTCATCTTGTATCCACTCTAATATTCATGATTGCATTCCCAATTTACAGTGTGCGCTTTTTAGATATTTTCCAGCATTGATACTTCTTGAAGTGAAGCGATTTGAGCTCTAGAGAATGTTTCTTTCGCGACAGTGTAAAGTTGTTAAAGTGATTGTCTTTACAGTCTGAACAGGAAGACATAAATTTGAAGGGTTTTTGTTTTGTCCAGGAAAGTTTTAGATGTCTCGGATTGTGCCGACAAGAGCGGGTCTCTTGAATGATTGTATGTTACATTTAATACAAATTAGGATATGTCATAAAACCTATGTTCTCTTACAAAAATACATTTAGTTGACCTTTGGTGGGTTTTTCCACTTTACCTATTGTCCTTAATCACATAGGTGAGAGAAGTCTCCTAGATTGTTTTTGTTTCATTGTGCAAAATTAGATACTAATTAAACAGGCCAGATGCTGAATGTATGAATTTTAGGAAGTATTTCATAAATAATAGTTTTGATTTACAGTCAGCAAATTAAAAAGCTTTGTCAGAAATATACCTTTTGGCTCCTTTAGTTGTAAACCATAAGAGTCCCTTACTGAAGCTTTGAAATGATCCACAGTTCAGTTTTCCCATGCCCTTGTCACCTTTTTAATGATTAATGTCACTGGGGTCTAAAGTCATGCACAGCATATACTCTGTCCTTAATAGATGTTACAGTAGCACTGTGGTATGTATGATGTACATGGATATGGGAGATCATTCCCATTTTTTCTTTAAAGGCCGTGTAAAAATATCCAGCATTGCCTTTGCCACAAATTAGAAGTGGCTTTGCGACTTCCAAATCCCCTACTGGCACAATTCAGCTTACAGGCTGTTGAGCCAAATATGTATGCTAGGAAGTGCTGATAAATAGGTTAAGCATTTAGAGAACAGTCTTTAAGCTGTTGTCAAATTACCTGAAGTTCGGAAGAGAGAAACAGTTGGGATGGTTGACATTTCGGTTGATAAACTATTTTTCATGGCCTCTGTGACAGTTTCCTTGCTGTGTACAAGACGATGCATGATGGTGGTGTAGAATTTATTGAATTATTGTTTCTTTAACAATCTATTCACTGTAGTGTCAAACTTTTAGAAGAGGAATCTGTTCTAATTTTCTATGCAGAAAAACTGGATTTATTCGTAGGGATAAGAGGAGAGGGTTTTACTCCAACCACTTTTAAGAACATTTTTGCTAGATTACACCTCTCAGTCAGAAAGCAAATGGAATGCCAGTTTTACAGTAAAAGCAATTGTAAATCTGCTGTCTCAGCCCTGTTGGATTTCCCAGCAGCATACTCATACTGCTTAGTAGAATCAACCAAGCAGGTTTTAAATCGAGCATTTAATGTCTTTTGCCGAGATTGTATTTGGTTTAAGTGGCCAAGAAAACTACCCTTAGAAATTTAAGTGTAGGTCCTTTGAGCAGGAAAGGCATTTGGAAGGGTAGGGAAAGCGTTGGGGGAAAAAACATGTACCTCCTTTTCATGAACCAGTTTTCACCAAGTTTACCAGAACAAAATAAGAACAGAACATTTCCCTCCCCCCACCAGCAAGCCAATTGTCTTGAGAAATGATATATTTTAGGTTTCTCTTATGAGCTGAATTCTAATGTGTGTGCCAAAGATTAGTAGTGGAAGCTTCTAAGTGTCAGTGCTGCTTTAGATGAAAATTAGTATGAGTTTGTCCTTTTGGTCATGAGATTTTTAAAAAATCCTTCAGACTGAGATATTCTTCTGAATTTTATGTTGTATGTTAGCATGTTCATTATTAAATGAACTACTATCTAGAAACTTAAATTATTCTGTAAAAAGGTGTAACATCTGAATTTCGTAGTTAAGACATCAGCTTAGAGAATTCCCTTTTCATGATAAAAATACCCTGTGTGTTTTATTCATGTAAACGTCTGTAGCTTCAGTTTGACAATCTATTCTTTAATGCCTCTACAGTTCTGTCTACTTTTTTTCTGCTAACATTGTAATTGATTAAGAATATCTTGTGAAATTTCTTATTAACTGCCCTGAAAGATAAAAAATACATATGCCTCATTTCAATCCTTCAAATAGTAGTGAAATGTTAAATATTTTATTTTTCGGATCATTTTGCAAGCGAATTTGAAATATAGGGCAAAAAAATGCTCCTGAACTATAAATGTACAAAAATATAGGTCACCCTTTTCCAATGCACTTGCCTTTTTTTAGGATGGTGGGGGGTGGATTAGGGTTCTGTCCTTAGTCTGACTGTATCCAGGTTTTGAACTGTGATACACATTTTCTGCCAGGGACTAAAGTGTTAAATGCAGCTTGGAAATGTGACAAAGTGCAATTTCATTTCTTGTTTATTACTTGTTTTCCTATTGGACAATAGATGGCAGCTTTGCCCTGGCAACAAAAGTAGGATATTTGCATACACGCCTCTGATTGGCCTCGGCTTTGACAGACTCACCCAATCATACAGTATCTTCCTGGTGGTAGGCTATGCTAATTAGGTGCTGTTGCTGGGGTTCAGAAGGGTGGTTACTCTGTGTGATTCTGCTGCATTGTGTTGCCTAGTGAGAGACGTTGATAAATGAGTACTTAATGATCTGCAGAATTCCCACTCACTGCAGACAGCCTGAGACTTCAAAATAGAACTGAGAAGATTTGATTGCTGAGTTAAATGCTCGTTTTAACTGTTCAGAGGCCACCATCACGTTTATGTGAAACACTGAATTTCAGTCATTTGAAAACTTGTCTTGGCAAATAAGTATTAAAATCGAGCAGTATGTTTAATTGAGAATCAACCCTCATTCTCTCCTTTTAGAGGAATTACAAGAGGAAACCCGCAAGTATCAATCTTTACAGAAATATACAATATAAATCAATTTAGTTTTATTGGTATGGTCATAGTGTATGATACTTTTCATAGAATTGCTGCTTTTTAAAGTTACATTTTTAATTAGATATTTAAGTAAAAATAAGCTTTAAGTGAACCCTCATTACTGGGTTGGAAGATGGTGTGCTCTAAGCCCAGATGAGAAGCTGCTATTGTACGCTGGAGCAAGGTGCTTCACAAAACATGTTCTGACAATTTCTGCTGTAGGCTTCCAATGTATTTGAGAATGAAAAATCAAAAGTAAATGTTTCATACTTCTATAAGGCTCTTTTTCTCTACACCTACACAGATCT